TCTAAGTCCCTTTGCATGTGAAAAGTGCCTAGGGGAGGAAGTGCTAAGTATTTGGCTGGCTGTACTCAGTTTTCTGGAGCAGGTTTAAGAGCTGGAGTCTCCTGTGGTGGTCAGCGAGGGGAAATCTGCTGGGCTGAGCTTCACAGAAGTCCCTTGTGCCCAGGGCAGAAGGCAGAGCAGAGAGGGGATGTACAGCAGACCTGCCCCTCACAGCATACTGCCCCAGCATCAACCTGCCTGATGGCTCAGTTTTCACTACCCTGTCCTTTGGGGTTAGTTTAAGTGTTGGGAAATTAACAGGCAAAGCCTCATGGTGGTGAATAAACTGAATAATCCAGGGAACAGCAGCGATGACTGCTGGTTCTGCTCTAGTGAGATGGGGGTGAGAAAGTCTTGGATCCACCTTTCCTCAGCTGCCCTGTCCCCTCGCTCTGGACTGGACAGAGGCTCTGGAAGGCATTTCTAGAGGCACCAGGCAGGGCTCAATCATTAACCCACAGAAGGTTAGTGAGAGTCCCCTGGAGCACAGTGTGCCTTTCCTGACATAAAGCTATCAGAGCAAGGCAACCGCAGCAAACCAGCTTTCTCCTAGGATGGAAGACCACTGGAGTGAGGCCTGTGAAAAACCCCAGCAGCCTTCACATGGAGGCTGGGGTCTAGACGCTATAAGGAGTGTGTGGCCAGGGATCACTCACCTCCTGGACAGGGTCGGCCCACAGCCCAAACCTCTCGGCAATCATCTGGTGGATCTCTCGCTGGCGATCTTTCTTGCGCACACTCTCATAGCTGGGCAGGCGTGGCTGGTCCCAGGCAGGGAGCTGGTAGCTGCTGGGGGACCCCACGCAGAACAGCTCGTCGCCCTAGAGACCCCCGAGGGGATAGAAAGGTCCCATTGCTAGTCAGATCAATCAGTGCCCCTTAGCTCAGGGCTGCACCTCAGGACACCACTGCTGTAACCAGCACCCAGAGAGAGGGATGCCCTGTGCCCAAGGCATCCCCACCTGTGCCCCACAACAATGGCTCCCCTGAGTGCTCCGGGTCTTCAGAGACGTGGCCAGGGCAGTTTGCTCCCAAAGTCCTTTACTACAATATAACAGTCCTCCCCACAGTCCTGCAGCTAGGGACACTGCCACATCCAAGCCCCTCTCCACATCTCAGGACCCCAGACCCAAAGTACCTCCCCACATGAAGCCCCCCACAGCAGTCTTGGCCTCACTCACGGTGCTCCCAGCCCCTCACCTGCACCCCGGGATTCTCCACGGCACTCTCCAGCCGCTGGGCACCACACTGGGATCCCACCAGCCGCTGGTTGCTGCTGAAGTATGAAGGGGGGTAGTCCTGTCAGGAGAGGCAAGGGAAGAGAGAATGAAGCCTGTGTGAAAGCCCATCTCCAGCTCCCAAGGCACGTGAACAGGTTAACGCATGGTGTGGTGTAGGCAGCCTCCATGGGGCAATGCCCCAACCTGGAACCTTTCCCAAGATGCCCCAGGCCTGGTGGGACTGAGGCCACCGTCAGCATCTGGAAACGTTCCTGCTTGGTACCTTGCAAGCCCTCAATGAGAGGCAGCGCTGCTCTGAGTCCAGCCCTTCTGGCTCTCCTGCCCAGCTCAGAGCACAGCCCAGCACACAGCTCTCAGGCCAGGCCGGCTCAGACTGTCCACAGGGAAGGGAAAGGCCAATTCCTTGTTTGTCTCTCCCATGGCTGGGGTTTAGCCCAGCCAGCTGGCCTCTCCTGTGCTCCCCCACCTCTGCCAACCCAGCAGTGCTGGCAACCCACCATCCTTCTGAGGACAGGAGGTTTGTTCCCCATGGACAGGGTGGATCGTTCTTTCAAAGCTAGCATCTGCTCTGTATCACCCTTAGAGATCCCCAAGATGCTGCCAAAAGCCCCTATCTCCAGTAGGGGCATCAGCAAGCGCCAGTACCTCTGTGTGCTCTATGTGCAGGCAAAACTCTCCTAGTAGCAGTGCAGCCACATGGCAAAGCTGTGCTTTGGCCCAGTACAGTAAATCCACACCCCCAGGGCTAAACAAGCTACACCCAAAAAAGCAGAACATTGCTAGTGTCCCTGCTTCCACCCCCATGGCTCTTCCCAGTGGAGTCATACCTCCTCCCCCTCACCCCCAGTAGACATAGCTATGTCAATGCACACTGGTGGTGTAGCCCAGATCTACAAGTGGTTTGCTTATGTCCTCAGCCAGGCATTTCCTAGCCATTCCCAGTTGCACCTTCTGTTGCTAGACAGGACCCAGGGTGAATGAGCTGAGTGGGGACTTCAGTCTCACTGAGCTCCCTTAGCTGCACAATCCCCTTGCGGTGATAAGAGCAGTTTAGTCATTTCCCCAAGGCTGCCCAGCTGTTAACAGCTCATGTGCAGGGGGAAGCTGTTCCTGGCAGAGGGACCTGAAAGGGCGAGAGCTATTCCGGGGTAGCAATTCTGTGTGTACACGATCCCACTACCAGGAGCACGGAGCTCTTACTGTGGAAGAAGCGCGTTCACCCACAGAGCTGTTCTGCATTTACACCAGGCCTCAGCTTCAGAGCCGGGAACGGGGTTGTGGGAACTTCCTTGTTCCCGGGTCTCCCAGCAGGAACAACCACTGCCCGACACTGTGCAAGGAAAGGCTGGGGTAGACTAGTAGCCATGTGGGAGGAATATGGAATCACTCAAGCTCCTGTAAGCATTAATGTTCAGGTGATTTTTCCCACACCCGTGGCCCCCTTAGTTCTGTGCACGCGGCTGCAGCTTTGCCCATGTGCTGGGTGGGCTTCCTGCGCCCCAGGGACTTCCAAGCCAATCCCAGCCCCTTGCAGCAAACATGTGCTCTTTGCCTCTAATTGGGGTTCTGCAGGCTCAGCCTGGGTCTGAAACGTGACCCGCAAAGCGAGGATTTCCTGGTGCACTTGATTGTCCATAATTGCCTGCACAGGGTTTGCAATTACAGAGCTCATGTGCAGCAGTGTGGGGCTTCCATGTGCCACTTGTTTTAACCCAATTCATGAAGCCACAGCAGGCCCCACAGGGGATGCTGGTGACAAGCTGCCTCCCCCTCCAATATTTCCCATCCTGCATGGCAAGGAGTTGCAGCCACATAAGGCCCCTTTCAGGCTGTGTTCACACTGGGGGGTGGGAGGAAGAGGGGCTGCACTGGAGTGTTGTGCACGCAGAGAAGGCCACAGTGCACTCCCTGCATCTCCCGGCACTGCACGTCTCAGTCCCTGGCTTCCCCTGTGGGGGCAGAGACTCTGTTTGGAGGCTTAGTTATGCTTCATGGCTCCATGTGATCAGTGCTGAATTCTGCAGCTGCAGAACTAGAGAGAAGGGGCAGCCGAGTCTGGGCCAAGCCAGCACAGAACCAGGATCCCTCTCCCAAAACAGATCCGGTAGATTACTCACCCATCCCCTGCCAAGCAGCCCAGCTCCCATCTGGTTGTGAGCATCTCAGCCAAGAGGCTCCCATCACCATCACTTCCTTTGGGAAACTAGAACCCAGCTTAACAAAGCCCAGGGGCCAGACCCACAGGCTGCACTCTGCCGTAGGGGGCAGCAGCAAACCCTCACGGGGTGACTGCTGCCTAGATCAACTTGGGGACCCACTGCTTGCAGGCTACAGGAGGTAGGTTTGCTGGGAAGTTCTGGCTGCTCTCCTACATGAGGATACTAGGAACGGCGGAGATGGGGAAGGCGAACAGCTCTGAACTGGGGAGTCTCTTGTGCAGGGAAAGGCAGCAAAGCAGCCCCTGCTCTCTGCCTGAGCTGCTCAGAGACAGTCAGAGATTGGCCTCACTGAATAAAGAAAGTAGCAGCTATTCAGGCCAGTTACATCTTGACATAGAGTTTTCCTGCCCCCTTCCCCAGTGCCCCCACTCCTGCCTGCTTTGGAGGCAAGATCTCTAGGGCAGGGATCACTCCTGCAGGGGGGGTGGATGAGCAAGCTGGTCTTCACTGCTACCGGCTTCCCTCATTTGCAGCTTCCCCCTCACACCAAGCCATGTGGGGGAGAGGAGGGGTTCAGCCTTCTCCGCTCCAGCCTCAGCGCTGTGCACAACACAGAGCCAGTTGCTGGGCGACCGGCGACAGAGTGGCATTGTCTGTGCTGCACGGTAACCTCTCCTGCTGTGCCCCTTCCCTGAAAGACAAGGGCTCTGAGCATGGCATGAAAGGGAGGGAGGGAGGGACCCGGCTCTCAGGTGGGACTCGGCTGTTACCGGGGATGTGAATATCTGAGAGCTGGCTCTTACCTTGAGGATGTCACCCATCATGGGCGGACAGGTTCTGGAGAAAGGGCTTTGTTTGGAGACAGCCTGAGTGCTAAGTGGAGAGGCTAGGGATCTCTCTGGCAAGACAGGGCAGTGAATAGAGCCAATTCCCTCTGGTGGGGCTGCAAAATGAGGCTGCTCCATCCCAGCCAGAAGATCTGGTCACACTGGGGTTTAACCCCAACAGGGTCTCCTGAGCTGTAATCCCTCCCCAGCAAGTCCATCCTGAAGGCCCCAGGGCCTGTGCTGAGCAAGGGTGAGGCTGCTGGGGTGGCTGGGGAGGGGGTGGGATACTCACACACTGGCTGGGACTCTGGAAGAAGCGGCAGGAGCAGAGGAACTGGCAGCACAGGGGGTCCCGGTGGTACAAGAGCAGCAGCAGCACCAGAACGGCCACTATGAACACAGATGTGGAGACCGCTGCCAAGGCAAGAGACAGGGAAGCAGGCTGAGCCCAGGGCACGGCAGCACACCGCCAGGCAGAGCTGCCTCTTCTCCTCTGTGGGGGGGGGTCGGGAGCAGAATCATCTCCAGACAGTTTCCTCCCCCCATTTCCTCCTTTCCATTTCCATCCTGCAGCCCTGGCATCCCCTCGGCTTGACTAGGGAGGTCCAACTGATGACTCCATACTGGTACTGACCCCCTGTCCAAACAGGCCCACAATAGGACCAGTGCCTGGCATGGATCCGAACTATCAGGCAGTTGCCTTCCTGCTCAGGATCCCAGAGCATGTCCCCAGTGCGCACCCACCCACCCACAACCCATGGGAGGTGGGGGGGGGTCTCACACTCCACCCAACTCAGCAAGAGTGCTGCAAAGCCAAGGAGTGGGGGAGAGTCAGGAGTCTGGAGCCAGGGTGCCCTGCTCTGCCCCTGCAGCTTTCCTGCCAGCTCTCTCCTCTTGCCTGCCTGCAGCCTGGTGAAGGCCGGAGGGGACAATCTTGCATCAATAACAGGGAACAGAGAGGGCAAGAGCACTTCAAATAGTGACACATCAGGCATCAGCCAGCCAGCATCTGTATGAAGGGGCTCTGCATTTCCCTGCTGTAACACTGAATTTTAAGACAGTGTGAGGAGCAGCCCATGTCTCTAGCTACTTCTGACTGATTCATCTCATGGCCTCAGACAAGTCACAGCTTCTTGGCCTCAGTTTCTCCTTCTGCCAGTCCCAAGGAAGCTACTTATTTACTTTGCAAAGGGGCCATGAAGTTTATCACACTACAGCCGTGCTTGGAAAGCCCCTCTCGACTCTTCCGGCACATAGTGAGAAGGTCCAGCTATTAAGCTACTTTAGGCATTTGCCAGTGTAGCAGAAGAGACACAGGCTCTGGGACTGGACTCGGTGGGCAAGTAAAGGGGCAGCTTATTTTCAAATAACCTCCAGCACCTGTAAACCACCTCATCTGAGCTTGCAAGGACAGGCCAGTCAGGCTTTGGGATTGCCAGCTGATTCACTGAATCCCTTCAGCTTACACATGCAGGATCAGAGATCCTATATGGGACCAGCTCTTACACATACCAGATCAGAGATCCCCTACGGGACCAGATTTGACACATACCGGATCAGAGATCCCATATGGGACCAGATTGCAGCCTGGCAGAACAAACATCTTGCCTTCAGACCCTGATGGTGGAGCCTGCAGGGAAGGTACCACTCGGCAGGAGGAAATTTCCCTTCCCCTCTATCGCAGCAGCCAGTGGAGGTGGCTAGAAGGACCCACACGTGTAGGGGCAGAAGACGGGCTCTGATGAAGCCAGCAGAGACCTGGGCCCGCCTACGCCAGTCCTGTTCCCAGGAAAGCGGGGGGCTCGTCCTGATCGCAGGCTTGGCACAGCAGAGAACACGTGTTCGAGCAGCACTTGTGCAAAACGGAGCGCCCCCCTCCCCACCCGCTGCTGAGGGCAGGATGGAGGAGGGTGGGAAGCACAGGGGGAGGCTGGCAAGGGGGAGGCGCAGTGGGGGGCAGGGTGGTTTGAGCGCTGGGTTGTCCGCGGGCAGCTCCGACCCCCACCGCGCGCTCAGACAGACACAGGACTCACTTGCAGCGATGACGATGGCCACCACATTGCTGTCCATGGAGCTGCTGGCAGTGGGAGCCTGTGTGGGGACATTGCTGGGTTGGGTCATCTCTGGTGTCGCTGGTTCCTCTCTCCTTCCTCCAAGCCGGCTCGGGGCGGACCAGGCACCGGGCACAGAGCAACCGGGCAAGCCCTTGTCGGCCGAGCCCTGGGCCAAAGCCCCGCTCTGGATCCGGCCTGGCTTCCCCAGAGCACTCAGCTGTTGTCTGCTCCCTCCAGCACCGCTGCCTTCATCCCGCCGCCTCTTCTCCTCTGCCAAGGGCGCCCGGCTCCTCTCCTGCCCCGGCCCGGGCGGTGCTGGGGCGCTGGGCTCAGGACCAGGCGCTGCTCCCCTTGCCCTGCCCGGTGCCTCTCTGCGATCCGCTGCTGCTGCCTTCCAGTCGAGTCTTCCCGTGGGGAAGGGAGCTGGATCCAAGGGGTTTCCAAACCTCCTGGGCGCGCTGCTGCTCGGGTCTGTGCGACCGCTTCTCTCCCGCGCAGGAACCGCGATCCCAGCGTGTCTCCCTTCCCCAGGCTTCCCCTGCCTCGGAGCCGGGGGGCCCCGCAGCTCCTCA